CTTTATAGAGATATCACTGTTTTCTCCATTAATTTCTGTTGGAAAAAAATAGATTAAAGAATTTAGAATAAATTTGAATTGTATTACTCACAAATGCATATTTATTTTGTATTCTGTAACATACTTAATAATGTATCCATAAACATTTTTATTTCATATAGAGAAAAAACTGTGGGGAGAGGTACAGGGCGACTATTGTTATATGTCGTGTTACAGTCTCAAGTCTAAATATTTATCTCCCTGGAAATTTAGTAATCAAATGAATATGTTGGGACCTACTATCTTTACAATGTTTGAAGAGAATAGCTTAAGTAAAAATATTATATGGTAGCTTCAAAGGAATTGATGTACTTTCTAGTACCCAAACTGGGAAGATTTTTTTAAAAAATCAGAATTTTTTTTTAGTTTATTTTTTTCCCATACAATAATTTATACATACATTGTTATGTGAATCTAATTGCTCTCCCCATACTGTGACAGCACACTCCTCCTTTCTACCCGGTTCCCCATGTACATTCAACCTTCAGCCAGCTCCTAACCCTCTCTGCCTTCCCATCCCACCTCTGGACAGAAGCTGCCCGTTTAGTGTCTTGTATCTGCTTGAGCTAAGAGGCACACTCCTCACAAATATCACTTTATGTCCCACAGTCCAGTCCAATCCCTGTCTGAAGAGTTGGCCTCAGAAATTGTTTTAGTTCTGGGCTGATAGAGGATCCAGGGGCATACTTTCCGAGGTTCCTCCAGTCTCAGTCAGACCATTAAGTCTGGTCTTCTTACAGGAATTTGAGTTCTGCACCCCACCTTTCTCTTGCTCCATCCAGGACTCTCTGTTGTGTTCCCTGTCAGGGCGGTCATTCATGGTAGCCGGGCACCATCTAGTTCTTCTGGTCTCAGGTTGATGAAGTGTCTGGTTTATGTGGACCTCTCTGTCTCTTGAGCTATACTTTCCTTGTGTCTTTAGTGTTCTTCATTCTCCTTTACTCCAGGTGGTTGGGACCAATTGATGCATCTTAGATGGCTGCTTGCAAGCTTTTAAGACCCCAGATGCCACTCACCAAAGTAGGATGCAGAACATTTTCTTAATAAACTTTGTTATGCCAGTTGACCTAGATGTCCCCTGAAAGCATGGTCCCCAGATCCCTACCCCTGCTACTCTGTTCCTCAAAATGTTTGATTGTATTCAGGAGACTTCTTAGCTTTGTTTAGTCCAGTTGTGCTGACTTCGCCTGTAGTGTGTGCTGTCCTTCCCTTCACCTAAGATAATTCTTACCTACTATCTAGTAGGTAAATAATCCTCACTCTCCCTCGTTACCCTCGTAACCATCAAAGAGTGTTTTCTTCTGTGTTTAAACCTTTTCTTGAGTTCTTATAATAGTAGTCTTATATAATATTTGTCCTTCTGTGACTGACTACATTCACTCAGCATAATGAGTTCTAGCTTCCTCCATGTCATAAGATGTTTCATGTATTCATCATTGTTCTTTATCATTGTATAGTATTCCATTGTGTGGATATACCATAATTTGTTTATCCATTCGTCTGTTGATGTGCACTTAGATTGTTTCCATCTTTTTGCTATTGTGACAGTGCTTCAGTGAACATGGGTGTGCATATGTCTATTCGTGTGACAGCTCTTATTTCTCTCGGATATATTCCATGGAGCAGGATAGCTGGATCTTATGGTACTTCTATTTCTAGCTTTTAAGGAAGTGCCAAATTGATTTCCAAAGTAGTTGTACCAGAAAATCAGAAGCTTGATAAAGCTGCTATAATTGCAAAATATTGTATGTCTTTCCACATTTAGATAATTAAAATACTTTTAAAAAAATAATGGTATCATGAGCTTCAAATGCCTGGACTCAGTAAGGACAAAGAAATTTGCCAAATGTAATTCCACTGTAAAAGTCAACCTAACAGATTAATGGTTGAAGAAAATTTAATGGATATATTATGCTTAAATTTTAATAAAAGTATTCATGACAATGGTTCACTCATTCCTTTTAGAGAAACTCTTTGATTAGCTTCTATCAGAAAGGATTTAAAACGGATTAAAGGACACAGTAGTAAAAAAATGGGAATGATTGAGTTAAAAAAAAGTGCTGAAACTAGTCTTATTTAATATCTTTAGAGTAATGAAGTTAGAGAAATAGGTAGGAAATGAGGAAGAATCTGCTTAGAAAATGCTGTAGGGGAGATGGACTGAAATCACCTCAGTTTTATTAAGTTCAAATAGACATTTTAACAACTTCTTACCAGAAAATCAGTGTCAAATTGGAAACAGCTATTAGCTATAATTATCACTCAGAAGAGCGGTATGCAGGCTTTGAAGCCAGTTGCCTAGGATCAAATTTACCTTTGCAACTTACTAGCGTTGTGGCCTTAGGGAGGTAAATGAACTTCTCTGTGCCTCAGATTTCTGAGCTGTAAAATGAGTAAATGTTGGTACCCCTTCAGGATTGCTGGGAGTATATAAAGAGTTAATATATGCCAGATCCTTAAAAAAAAAAAAAATTTCCTGTCGAGTCATCTCCAACTCATGACAACCCCATGTGTGTCAGAGTAGAACTGTGCTCCATAGGGTTTTCAGTGGCTGAGTCTTTAGAACTAGATCACCAGGCCTTTTTTCCAAGGCAACTCTGGGTGCGCTTGAACGTCCAACCTTTCTGTTAGTGGCCAAGCACATTAACCATTTGTATCACCCAGAAGACTCCACAGAGCCTTTAGAAAAGCGTTATTAACAGTAGCTAATAAGATGAAAGTGTCCTTTGAGTAGAGATCATGCTGTGCATTCTTCTGTACTTAGTATCAGGTGGTAAAATGTTTGTAAACGTACTGTTCACGGTCATTCATAATAATAGCTAACACTAAATTTGTGCCTTACATTGTTTCAAAATGCAAACAAGTTCCTGACATTTAAGGGTATATGTATCATTGGGAAATGCAAATCAAAACTACAATGAGATATCACTTCACAACCACTAAGATAGCTACAACAAAACAAAAACAAAATGTTGGTAAGAATGTGGAGAAATTGGAATCCTCATACATTGTTGGTCGGAATGTAAAATTATTCAGCCCCTATGGAAAACAGTTTGGCTGTTCTTCAAAAAATTAAACATAGAATTACCATATGACTCAGAAATCCTACTCCTAGGTATATGCCTCAAAGAATCGAAAACAGGTACTCAAACAAATACAAGTACACGTGTACATAGCAGCACTATTCACACTAGGCAGAAAGTGGAAACAACTAACTGTCCATCAGTGGATGGCTGGATAAATAAATGGTGGTATATACATACAAAGGAATATTATCCGGCTGTAAAAATGAATGACGTATTGATACATGCCACATTGTGGATGAACCTCAAAAACATTAGTTTAGGTAAAGTCAGTCACAAAAGGTTACATATTGTATGATTCTGTTCATGTGAAATATACAGAATAATTAAATCCATAGAGACAGGAAGCAGATTGGTGGTTGCCAGGATATGGAAAGAAGAGGGAATGGGGAATAACTGCTTAATGGGATTCCTTTTGGGGTGATAAAAATGTTTTGGAACTAGATAGAGATGGTGGTTGTACAATGTTGTGATGTACTGAATGCCTCTGAATTGTTCACTTTAAAATGGTTACTTTTATGTTATGTGAATTTTACCTCAATAAAATTTAAAAAAAGGAACCCTGGTGGTTAAATTAAGCATTTTGCTGCTAACCAAAAGGTTGGCTGTTGGAACCCACCAGCTGCTCCGTGGGAGAAAAGACCTGGCAACCTGTTCCCGTAAAGATTACAGCCTAGGAAACCCTATGGGGCAATTCTACTGTGTCATATTTGGTTGCTATGAGCCAGAATTGATTTGACACAAGAACAACAACAAAATAATAAAAGTTATAGAATATATTTCTAGGAATAGAAAATAGGTAAATTTTGTAGGAAAAAATTAATCTAGATTGACTAACTCAAATTACACATAGAAGATAGGCAAATAGTTGAGAAGAAGTTTTGCAAATATCTAAGTCAATGTTTCTCATCCAGGCTACTGATTAGAATTCCATGAGATCTTTATTGCTGCATTAGGAATTAGGGAGATATGCTGTGATAATGACGATCCACATTAAAAAGGAATTGTAGATTAATCTAAAAGAGAAATTAAATGAAGGCCAAAGACTCTAATAAATGGAAGTAGACATAAATCCACTTTATACTTTAAAAAAGGAATAGATATGGAAATAAATGTGTCTTGTAATAATAAATAAGCAGAAATCCAAGAAAAATTATTGTAGCAATAATAAACAGTGCAGATGTTAAATAGGCAGGAATATAAATCTGTGGTAGTAATTACTTACTTCATAATGGTAATAGTGAAGCAAGAGGCATTGAATAAGAAGTATTCAACTTCCCATTTATAGACTCTATGGGTTGAAAGGAAAAATACAAGCCCTAGATATATAGAATTCTGTCCCTAGGTGGCGCAAATGGTTAAGCGCTTACCTATTAGCCTGGTGATCAAGGTCACAACTTTGAAAACCCTGTGGAATGCATTTCGACTCTGCAGCACATGGGGTCACCATGAGTTGGAATCAACTCATCAGCAGCTGGTTTGGTTTTTTTGTTTGTTTGTTTTGGGGGGGTTTAATACACAGAAAGAAATTGGTACAGACAGACATACCATGGCTATAGATACTTTCTCTTGCACCCATTATTCAGAACAGCTAAGGTAAAACATTTATTTCCTAAGTGTCAGGCTTGAGTATCTCATTGGCTTAAAAAAAAATGGAAAAATGGCATACATTTACAAGGGTGCTTGCTCCGGAGAATCCTCCCCCTTGCTCCCCAGAATCCAGGATTACTACAATAGCACTGCTGTTTTCTTTAGTGTTTTAATCTAAGCGTTTGTTTATACTTATACTAATTGCTCAGTTTTTCTAAGAGCAGCTCCTGTTTAAATTTATTCAGAAGATATTTTATCTTCTTTAATTCTATTTTTCTCTTAAAACAGATTTCTGCTGCAGAAAACCATGGAAATGAATCAGGCGTAAGGGAGCTGCTGAAAAGGATTGTGCAGAAAGACAACTGGTTTTCTACATTTCTGACAGTTCTAAATCAAACAGGAAACAACATCCTTTTTCAAGAGTTAACAGGTGCCAGTTGCTTTGAAAGCAATGCAGGTATTTTTAATTTTACTGAGGAAGATTTTGTGCATTCTGCCTAGTGATTGAGAGTTTAACGAAGCCTGTAGACACAATGCCAAGCATTGGGATATTTAGAATCAGAATTCTAAAACTGGAGGGATTTGAGATATCTATTTCAACCCCTTTGCCAATGAGGAAACTGATGCCTGGGAAAAGATTGACTTTCCAAACACCACAAAACCCAGCAAGCTGGGCTAGAATGTTGGTGTGCATTCCTAGTCCAGTGCTCTTTCCATTTTATTTGGAAAACAAGGTAATTGCCTGAAATTTTTATCAAGATATTTTGAACATTTGAACATTGAGTATGCATAAATAAATTGAACTAAAATATTTTAGTAGTTATTACAGTTCTGCTGCATATTCTTCTGAGAATTTATATGAATTTTTAAGGAATTTATTAAACATTTTATAAAAGATCTGTAATTGCCAGCATCGGTATTATTTATTGTGAGCTTAAAAATTATTTAATAATAGTAACATCTTACAGCCCCTTTACATGTATGATCAGTAAATTTCATGTGAAATTGCCATCTTATTTTTCTTTTCGTAGCATGTGTCATATATTTTTGAGACTATTATATGTAAGACAAAAATTAATTGGTAATAAATGATTTAAATGAATTATAATCATCATAAGGTTACTTTACTTAATTCCATTCAGTCAGTCATTCAGCTAACATTTACTGAGTGCCTATTAGGTGACAGACACTGTTCTAGGTGCTAGGGATATAGGGTCAAACAAGACATACAAGTTCCTGCTCACATAGAAGACACTGTTTCTAAAATAAAAACAATAGTCAGGAGCGCTATAAAAGAAAATTAATCTGAGTAATGAAGTAGAGTTACTGAATTACTAGTGTAAACTGCTTGTTATGCCTTTTTATGTTACATTTATGAAGTGTCTTTATTTTTGTCTAGAAGTTTGAAATACACATATATACATGTATAAAAGGAGCCTGGGTGGTGCAAGCAGCTTGTAATTGGCTGCTGACCCAAAGATTAGCAGTTGGAACCCACCCAGAGGCTCCATGGAAGAAAAGGCCTGTTGAAGATTACAGCCAAGAAAACCCTATGGAGTGGTTCTACTCTGTAACACATGGGGTCACCATGAATCAGAATCTACTCAATGGCAGTGGGTTGGTTGGTTTGTTTTTTGGTGTGTATGTATGTGCACACACATTTATATAAAGAAAAAGAAAACAGAGAGACAGAGATGAAGTCAAATATTTTTATTATGAGTTACCTAAAAACTCTAATGAATTATAAAATGGCATTGATGAAACTGTGTGCAAATGAATCCCGGTGAGTGAAGTATAATCAGGATGGTTGGGCGAGGTCCTTTTTTTCCACCTCAGAACAAATGCTGTGTGATGCCATATATTTGAGAGCCCCACAAAGTTACATGCTCAAGAGGCCTTGCACCTCTCCCTTCTCTCTGGAATTATTCAAAGAATTGGGAAGCTTAGTTAGAGGGGATCAATCTAGCTTTCCAGTATCAGGCAATATCATGATCTGTCCACTGGCAAAGATTTCTGCTGCCATTGCTTCTGTTTCCGTTGTGAAGTGTAACTGTATAAAAGTCCTTCTCAATTGGAGGTATTTTTCTGTTAGGTCTTGATGGCCAGAACAAAGTTAGCTGTGGTTATTGTAGAGGTTAGGGTCCAAGCTCTGGGTCCAGGCTGTCATTCATTGAATCCTGGACACTTCACTTACCTGGACACGTGACCTTTTTTTGGCCAGGTACTTAACCGTCTCCATGCCTCAGTTTCCTCTTCTGTGAAATGGGGGTCTCCATGAGTTGGAATCAACCGATGGCAAGTAACAACAAAAAACAAGGGTTATTTTGAGGATTGTTGTTGTTGTGTGTGCTGTCGAGTCTATTCCAACTCATAGTGACACTTTAGGGCAGGGTAGAACTGCCACATAGGGTTTTCTAGGCTGTAATCTTTATGGGAACAGATCACCAAGTCTTTTCTCCCAAGAGCTGCTGGTGGGTTCAAACCGCTGACCTTTAGGTCAGCAGTTGGACACCTAACCATTGTAGCACCAGGGCTCCTTTTTGAGGATTAAATGATTTAATATATGTAAAGGTCCCTAGGTGGCACAAACAGTTTGCACTCGACTGCTAACCTAAAGGTTGTTGGTCTGAACCCATGCAGTGACCCCATGGGAAAAAAAAGGCCTGGCAACCTGTTTCCACTAAGATTTCAGCCAAGAAAACCCAATGGAGCTGTTCTCTGTAATATGGAGTTGCCATGAGTCGGAATTGGCTTGACAGCATCTAACAACAATAACATATATAGGGCTTATGTGTTGAGCACAAAATAAGTTGGCTATTATAATTATAAACCCCAGACATTCTTAATATCTATCTCCAAACAATGTCAAGGTGGCTTCTTGTCCAAGGTCGAAGCAGTTTTCTTAAGGAAATTCTCCATACACAGTTGGACACATTTTTCCCTTATTGTTTAGGGTAGGCTAATCTCAAATTGTAGCCCTGGAGGTGCAGGAGTTAAGAGCTACGGCTGCTAAACAAAAGGTCGGCAGTTCAAATCTACCAGCTGCTGCTTGGAAACCCTGTGAGGCAGTTGTGCTCTGTCCTGTAAGGTCGTTATAAGTTGGAATTGACTTGATGGCAACACGTTTGTTTTGGGTTTTTTTAATCCCGAATGATAAACTTTAAGAGATTTTCTTTATGCCATCGGTCTTCTCTTATAGATTGTACTTTCAGAAGGATAGAAACTCTTGTTTTTCTTTGAATCCCGCGTGGGCCTTAATAAAACATTCACATTTTGGTTGAAGGAAGAAAGGGCAGAAGGGAGGGATGGACTGAAGGAGAAAGGAAGAATACAGAATATTTCACTGAATTAAAAAAAAATCCCCAGGAATTCAGAATACATGAATTTAGGCTGACATTAAAGCAGATGTATATCTTGTGTAGAACACACAGTGAGGAAACAAAATGGCAAGAGCACAAGCTAAAGAAAAAAGCCACCAAATTTGCATTTCCCTTAATTCAGCCTTAAATGTAACTTTGTATTACTGAATAAGTGAATTGCTCCCTAACAGGTGATGGTCAGATAGGAAAACATCTCACTTTTCTTGTGATTAGCACAATACTATATTGTCTTTTTAGATAAAATCCAATCATTACAAGTAATTACAATTCACTGTGTCCATATTAAAAATAAAATTACTGTGTCATGTCAAAAACCATGTTCTGAGCCTTTCAAAATGTCAAAATATTGAAGTATATTCAGGTAAATCTCTATTAGGCACCCCCATTTTAATTTCAAAATAATAATTGTTGTTTTTAGGGTGCCACCCAGTCATTTTCGACTCATAGGGACCCCATACGACAGAGTAAAACTGCCCCTTATGGTTTTCTTGACTGTACTCTTTATGGAAGCAGATCACCAGGTCTTTCTCCCAAATAACGATAACAGCTATTTATATTGTATAAAAGCTTTTAGTATATTCAGGTACTTCAAAGGTAATTTCAAAGAGTTTAAGTATATTCAGGTAAACCTCTGTTAGGAACCCCCATTTTGCTTCCAGGATAACAATAACAGTTATGTGTACCGTGTGTGTGTGTGTGTGTGTGTGTATATATATATATATAAACTTACATTCTACTATTATTCACATTCTCACACTTTTATTCACAGAGATTGAGAATTTATCACAAAGAGATGGTCCTGAACCTGAAGAGCCACTTCTTTCTGCCACAGATCAGCCAAGTTCAGAGAAAGAGAGCTGGGACATGGAGAATAATTCATCAGAATCATCTTTTGCAGATTCTTCTGTAGTTTCAGGTACTTGAAGCACGTGTAATTGTGAACATTTTACATACACTGATTATTATTTCCAGAAAAATCAGTTGGTGCACTGGTGACATCATGATCTGTCGAACAGAGGGAAACAATTTGGACTTCGGGGTCTTGTGAGCATTTTTATTAAAATAATATTTTAGAGGCAAATAAATTAAAATAATTTCTCTTTTGTGGTCACAAAGTGTTTCAGACTAGTACAGCATTAACCCTAACCCATTGTCATCAAGTCGATTCCGACTCACAGCAACCCTGTAAGACAGAGTAGAATGGCTCCATAGGGTTTCTAAGGAGCGGCTGGTGGAGTCGAACTGCCGACCTTTTGGTTAGCAGCTGAGCTCTTAACCGCTGTGCCACCAGGGCTCCAGTATAGCATTAGTATGTTGTAAATATGAGCACATTTGGTTCTATTTTACTTTACACGTAAAATAGAATGTGATAATAATATAATATCAGAAGTGCGTCTTATGTTTCATGATTTACAAATACTTTCAAATACATTAACTAGTTTGATTCACCTAAAGCCCTGAGGATTAAATAGGGCAGTTACCTTTTTCCCTATTTTGCAGCCTGCAGCATCTCAGAGAAGTTCAGAGGAGTTACAGAGGCCAAGATTAAGACCCTAAAAGGGAAGATGAACTCTAAACTAGGTTTGGCTTGAGTTGGAGTAACTGATCAGTGTGAGAATTAGATACCACCATGTCCAGCTTTTTGACACTGAAACGGCCCTGAAAGACTCAAAGTAATTTAATTATTTACCCTCTCTAATTTGCTCATGATTATGTAGGAGAATCCTGCCCTTCCCCTACTTCTTCCCAAAAGGGCCACATTCTATTTTCACGAGAAATAGTTGCTTAGAGTTGGTGCTGTGCTGGTAAATGTTTAACGGCTGTCTCTCTGGGGTAAGGGAAGCAGTCCTGATTTGTAGCGTTTGCCAATCTCCATAGTGTAAACACTCCCACTAAGGACAATTTCAAGCCTCCAACGTGACGTCACTGAACACAGAGTTGGAAAGAGATGCACAGTGGCACACTGTTACATAGCATTTCCACTGTACAGATGTAATAGATATAAATAACCTCATGAGCATAAATAATAGTAAAATGATTAAGAAGTGATGAGTTTCAAGGATTTATTACCTTTGTTTTTAATTGTAAGTTTGCATAATTTAATTTTTAATAATGGCTGTGTTTTACAGCTGTCTCATGAAATTACTAAAAGTTTAACAATTGGCTCTTGTGAGTCAGTGTAAACTGACTGTAGCTCACCACTGCAAAGTCTTAATGTTTTCTACTTAGAAAAATCATAAATCTTTACTGCAGAAAATTTGGAAAACAGAGAAACACAAATAAACAAGGCACCCATATTTCCACAGTATGTGAGTGTTTATGTGTGTATTCCTGTTTATATCTGAGTATTTGCTTTTCCAATCTTTTTTACATACCTGAATATGTATATATAATGACATTTCTCTTGTGTTCATTAGATATTCTTCTACAGCATGGTTTTTAGTGGGTGAATAACGTTCCCACCATTTGGATGCGTTATACTTAATTAACCAACCTTATATTGTTGAACGCTTAGGATGTTTCCAAATCTCCACTATCATGAATAATGCCAAGATAACTCTTCAGATGTATGTCTCAGTTTATTTCTTAAAAACATAGTCACATAATAGCAATTCTGGGTCAAATGATTTATACAATTTTAAGACATTTGATACTTAATGTCAAATTTTCCTCCAGAAACGTGTGCCAATTTACATGTTCTCCAACAGTGTAGAAGAGTGCCCATTTCCTTGAATTCTCCTCCACAAGAGTGAATAATATCATTCTTTTCAATCTTTGCCCATTTTATTATTATTAAAAATGGTATTTTACTTGAATTTGAATTTTCTGATTTCTAATGAAAAACATTTATTAGGTATAGTGAAATATATAAACAGGTTCATTTTCTTCTTGTGGTTAACTGCCTATCCATTTTTCTATTGGAGTATTTATTTTCTTTTTGCTGATTAATAGGAACTATCTAAATATATGTCAAAGGATTGATATCCTGTGGAGTCCTGGGTAGTGCAGTGGTTAAGAGTTTGGCTGCTAAGCAAAAGGTCAGCAGTTCTAATCCACCAGCCGCTCCTTAAAAGCCTTCTGGGGCAGTTCTGCTCTGTCCTTTAGGGTCACTATGAGTCGGAATCTACTAGATGGCATCGAGTTAGGTTTTTTGGTTTTGTTTATGGAGTTTGTTTTTTAATGCAATGTTCTGCAGCTTTAATGTGCATCAGAATCACCTGGAGGAGGAGGTCTTACTGAAATGCAGATTTTGATTCAAGAGATCCTGGGTAGGGCCTGAGATTCTGCATTTCTAAGCTTCCAGATGTTGCTGATGCTGCTGGTCCTGGAATACACTTTGAGTATCGAGGTTTTAATAGATAAAATAGCAAAGTTTTAAACCTTGAATTCTAGAAGATTTTTTTTTTTTTTTTAATTTGAGCAGCTTTGCTTTCCTTCAGAAATCATGATTCTTTAGGAATGCCAAAATTCCCTCTCTGGTTGTGGAGTTTTCACGTTTTAATAAGCTTCCTTGGTAGGTTACCTGACATCTCTGTGCATTACTAGCATTTTCTAAATTAATACTAAAAAGAATTGAAGACTGGTCCGAGGCTGGGTGGTGGTCTGTTCCTACATCTCAAATGAGTATTTTTCATCAAAGATTGACAGCCTGTAGTTTATCTTTATTTTTTTTTTACTACTTATAATTAAGCTTAAAGATTCATCTTGTGAAAAAAAAATCTGGATCTTAATAATACCTTATGGGACAGAAAAGAGTATTCCCCCCTCCCCGCCTTCCCGGGTTCCCTCTCTTACCCTGCTCTTTCTAACCTCCCTCTCTCCCTTTCTTTCATTTAATAAATATTTACCAAGCTCCTCTCATGAGCCAGGCATTGCATTCAGTGCTGTGGATAAAGTGAGGAACATAACAGATATGGCTTCTGTCCCTAAGGAGCTTTCAGCTGATGGTAGCGTCAGCCAAACTGTAGTCACTGTACAGCTGCACTCCCTGTAAGTGCTATGAAAGAAAAGTACAGAGCATTAAAATATACAATAGTACCAGAACGAGTAAGAGTACAGTAATCTGTACAGTAATCTAAGGACCCCTCCAAATTCACAAAGCCTTTTAGTCTGTAGGATCCTCGTGATGTCTGGACTTGTCATGTGGATTTGGCAATAGGTTGGTCCAATCCATTCTAACCCTTTCCAGAGCAGTAACAAGAACAATTTATTTCAGAAAATGTAGTGCCTTTGCTTTAGGTCTTAGACACCTCTGTTGATAAATGCTGTGAATTATTCTAAGCGTCTGTTCATATTCTTGTTGCTCATCAAACTAAGACTTACTGATACAAATATCTTTTAAAGTACATTGGCCCAACGAAGTTGTTGGAGTTCTTTTGATTGAATTTTTTGTTGCAAAATTTACTATAGAGAGACTTGGCCTACATAGGGATTTTTTGACAAAATTAATAATAAAACAAACATAAAGTGCTCTATACTCTCTAATATGCATTTTTTTTGTTTTGTGTATCTTACTGATGTTGATATTGTATAGTCTTTATTTTTAATTCTAATATAATGGGTTAAGATTTCAGATACATTTACCAAACTAGCATTTAAAGAAACTTGTTATTTAAGCTTCACGCATTCTGTAAGTATGGATTTTTATCTGCAGAAAGAAGGAAAAAAAAAGAGTGAAACTCCGATTATTTCTAATTTTAGATTAAGACCTTTTTAATGTTTATTTCTGAACCTGTTTCTAAAATCATTTTTTTCAGTGCATAGTAATCTTGGTGCATACAAATATTACTTATTTATAGTTTTAATGTAAAGATTCTTAACTCATTGTTTTCTGAGCCCTTCTTACTCCTTGATGAGTAGTATACACTACCATTAGTAGCAGTGACTTACCCTGGCAACAGCTTTTAATTACATCTCTCCTTCAACCCAGGGGTAATGTATCAGAATCTCCTAGTGAATGGTTCTGGAGAGTGATTTCACCATGCCCACTTTGCTTGGGGGCTGGCATTTCTTCTTCCTGCCTCCTCCTCCCATTATTAACAATCAGTTGCTTCCCAGTAAAAATGCAGTTAATGTATACAGTTCTTAGATACAGCAAAACTTTGTTTTATTTACCTGTTTCCAAATGAACACAGGTAATTTCTAAAAGATATTTGAACAATTCTCAAAACTATTAATAAGACTTTAATGCTAGATGTTATCATTCTGTTTCTGAAATCACTGGTCATCTTAGCACAAGAAGATATTGGAAAACTTAGATGTTTCTCTAAACCACACTTCTGTGGAAAACATCAGAGGCATGCAAAACCCACGTTCATTTTCTTCTATTAAAAATATTCTAATTATAGCAAATCAACAACTGTCTGGATTATTTAAATATATAAGCTTACAGTAAAATTAGTTCTACAGTCATTTTTAACTGCCTTCTATTGTTACTTTGTCAAAATGAGTAAGTAGTTATTTTTTCTGGACCTTTATATTGTACTACTTGGGGTCGGCGTGAGTTAAAATCAACTCAACAGCAACCAGCAACAACAAATTTTAGAACTTAATGTTCTGTAATAAAATGAAATCAAACAAAATGAGATTTAAAACTAAATAAAATGTATTGCATTTGGAAAAGAGTTATTTTTGTATATAGTTGAGCTGAAAATCCCTCAAATTTATCTTTCTATGCTGCATCTCCCTGTTTAGACTGAACTAGAAAGTGCAAATACCTCAGGTTGGCCAGCAGAGGGCGCCTTGACATTTAGAAGGAGAATGAAATTCCACTGTTCCCGTGTGGAAGATGATAATGTAACAGTGTAGAGTGCCATACGTGATTATACAGTGCGCATGACTGTAAATACATGTGTATATTTTGATTTATATGTTCCTTCACGTGAAGATTTTAAAATTCCACCGCAGCTAATGAGC